GTGAAACAATGAGTCAATCATGTAAAGCATGTAATTTAAAGCTAAAACTTAAAGAAAATAACCCAAATGCCTTTGATGCTTAGAAATCATCACATGTATGTGAATTAAATTATCGTGGTCCTGCTCTTGGAATAGAAGTAACTGGCGCTCAAAGAATATTTAGCCGTTCTATTTCACAAAATGAACTGAGGCATGTAAAGTATTATGGTGACGGTGATTGTAAAAGCTATTTGTATGTTATACACCATTATACCAGGATACTTATCCTGGTATAATGGTGTGTAAGTTGGAGTGTGTTGGACATGTACAGACACGTGTTGGTAGCAGATTGCGAAACTTTAAAAAAAACGTAAAAGGACTTAGAGGCAAAGGAAAATTAACAATTTTCTGGGCAATGAGCATGCTAATCTGGGCAATAAGTATGATCATTGCCCAGATGGCATCAATAGTTGGTGTCGTTATAAATAGGATAAAGCTAATTTAACGTCTACCTACAAGCCAGGTGCTAGTCTTCACTCTCAGTTTTCAGTCATCTAAAGCCAGTGTATATAGATTTATCTCAAGAAGAACACTTAAAAAACCAATGGTAAAACTCAAAACCAGAATGAAAGTTATAATAGGATGATATGGCAGCGCATACCTAAAACAAAGTATGTTTCTTTAACGCAGTTGGAGTTAGGGGTTTATGATGCTATTTCAAATTTTAATATTGGAAGAAAAGCAAGCATACTTTTGTTTGAAAAGTTGAATATGATTCCTGGTATATATACTTTCCAACACTGTTCAACAATGAATAAAAAGCACTTAATTTTTTCAGAATATCAAAATCGGATTACATCTAAAAAGCGACAAAAAGTTTTTCGTGGATGCAAAAAAAAAAAGAGATAATGCAGAGAATGATCAAGAAGGTTGTCTTTATGACCTGGTTCATGTTCATATAAATAAAAGTTTTTAAATTCTGTATATGAATGAAAATATTATGAAAAATTATGAATTTAATATTCAAACAAGTTTTTATAAAAAATATAAATTTTTGACCTCCTGGCCATCCTATCTCATTAACTGTAAGTTAAATTGGTATGTAATTTTCACCAAATATTTATTGCATCTAGTTGTACAATTGGAACTAAAGGTTATTTAATACAATCAAGAATTTTTGACTTATAGAAGTTTTAAGTTACAAAAAAATCTTATTTTTAATACGCCATTTTGAAAATTTCATTATAGGCCAAGCCCTTAGTTTTTTAAAATAATTTTAGTTCAGTTTGCAGATCAATATGATATTAACCATTTGCCAAAAAATTCATAACCTACATGCTTTCGGTTACTGAAATAGCTTGGCCGGTGTAACTTAAATATTATTGGATGTCGGCCATTTTACTTGGTAGCCATAACAACTAATAAATTTGTTTTGTATTTTTTTTATCTAGTTGTTTCTCAAGATAGAATTGGTTTTTTGTTAAAAATCTTTTTTTAATAATTTTTTTTTTTGAGGGGTCTTATACCATAAATGAAATTAAATAAATAAATAAATTTATATTTGTTTTATTCAACTACTTCTTCCTGTGTTTGAAAAAATTTCTTCAAGTTTTTTTTGTTTGTTTATACAGAATTTAAGACTTTTATTAAGTCTTTTTATGGGCACCTTTAGGATTTTCCTCAGTCAACTTGCTTTAAAGTGTTTTAAATAAAATAAGAAAAAGTCCTGAATTTGGAAAGATCGAAAGAAGTAGTGTTTAAACCTATAAATTTCCTAATAAACATGTTTTTTTCACTCAAAGTTGTAATACTTTTCACTTATTTAGTAAAAATAAACAAAAAAAAAAAATGCTGGTAGTTGTAGCTCTTTTTTTTTCTATTTCTTTGAATATTATTCTATTGTTTGATAGTCTTTGTAATAGTTAAAATAATTCCAGGACCGAGCAAAATCCTTACTTTAAAATAACACTCAAAAACTTGATATTTCACAGTTTAGAAATTAAATCCGTAATATACCGCAACTATTTATCAAATAATATAAAATTTAAAATCTTTATAGGCATGTAACATTTTAGATTAATTTTGAAAGATTGCTTGTAGTCCACAGTTAGATCTTTGGCGTTTCTCTTTCAAACAATCTAATTGTTTATCTTGCAGACCAGATATTTTCCGGAAATATCTTGATTGTTTGAACTAATGACCGACTGACGGCAATTTCTTGAAAAATACAACTAGATTGAGTGGTATCAGGTTTTTTGTTTTTGTGTTTTGTTCTTTATAATTCGTTATTCAAGTTTTTAGTTATTATTGTTTTTTTAACACGTTTTTTTAAAGATTCTTTACGCTTTCACTTTCATTTTGCATTTGCTCAGTGTAACTTTTTATTAAATTATTTTTAGAGTGTAATGCTTGATTAATAGAGGTGGGGGAGGGGGGGATAAGGATATTTAAAATATTTTTACAATTGTTGACAAAGGGTAGTGAAAAGGTCAAAAATATTGACGCCAGCAATCTATGACAATTAATAAAAAGCCCAATTGTCTTTAATTTTGTCTTTTTCTTCTCACAATATTGTTGTTGCAGTTATTATTATTACTTATTATTATTATTATTATTATTACTTTTGTTGTTATTACAGATTTTGTAAACTCGAGTTTTCAGTTACCAGGATGCAAATCAATTCATCAAACCCAATTAGTGTTATGGGTGGCAGAATGTTTTTTTTTTTATCCATAATACACAACAGTTAAAAAAAGTCCAAAATTTTTGTAATTATAATGCAGAATATAATTATTACCATAACCATATGGTTACTGGTCAATAATAAAAGAAAAATGTTGTTGAACTGCTATAGACTAGGGTGGAACGATTTTTAAAATTTTAAAAATTGATTTGCCTGAGTTGCTAATCGATGTTTCTTAGTGAAAAAAGAACATTACTTTTTTTTTTTTTAATTTAGATGAGTTTTTGAGGTTCCTCTTTGGATTTTAAATTTATGACGGATCCTTATATTGTTAAAATTTTTTTTCTTCTAAACTATATCAAACTGGTACTCAAAAGAAGCAGAATAATATGTTTATTTTGAAAATAATATTTGTTTTAATTAAAAAAAAAATAGAGTTGTTTATTTTTCATAAAAAACCCCCGTCTTCAACAAAACAGGGGTTTTAAGGTATGTTTTTGCAAATATTTGTTTCACTAAAATTTTTTAAAATAAAATTATTATTTTTTAAAACAAGCATTTTTTTCTGCTTTTTTTGAATCCAAGGTTGATATGGTTTTAAAAAAAAAATTCAAAAATATTTGAACCCGTCAAGAATTTAGAATCTAAAGAGGAACCTCAAGAACTCATCAAAATCAAAAAATATTTTTTTACTTTCATCTTATAATTAACAGACATTGATTCGTGTCTCAGGAATATTCAATTTTCAACTTTTTTTTTTTTGCCATGAAAATCGCTCTACCCTTCTATAGGCCCCTAAGTGGAAATATAAAATTATTTATAAAAGTGCTGAGAAATCTTAAGAAATAAGCTTAATTCTTAATTACTTAATGGGAGAACTTAATGAGAATATTACCCTTCTAATGGGCGAACTTAATGAGAATATTACCCTTCTAATGGGCGAACTTAATGAGAATATTACCCTTCTAATGGGCGAACTTAATGAGAATATTACCCTTCTAATGGGCGAACTTAATGAGAATGTTAACCTTTTAAACTTAACAACTTATAATAAATTTAAACACTTTATAAATATTCTCTATCAGCATTGATTATCAAACCGACTCATGTAACTCGTCCAACAAAAGCTCTAATAGACAATATTTTTACTAGTCTTTTCAAAAAACATTCAAAGCAAAAATCATAAAAACCGATATAAGCAATTATATTATATGTAACAAAAACGGAGATAAAAGTTGGATTATTATACTTTGCAACTATCAACAGAACATGGATTATCAAAGGTTTCATTAAATCTTCCAAAACTTCCATGTTTTCTTATTAAATAAGAAAACATGGTATGTTACAGAAGGTGCCGTGGCGCAGCGGTTAGAGCTCTGGCTAAGAACCGAAAGGTCTGTGTTCGATGCCGGATCTGGCCAAGACTCTAGTAATACTCAGGGTATTACAAAACGTTTTAGCAAGGTATTACGTAAGCCAGAGCTCTAATACCCTGCTAAAACATTTATATGCTGTTGATAAAAACATGGCTATCAATGAATAAAAAGACATTACTGAACACTTTAAGAATTATTTTTTTTAAGCATTCGAAAGAACTCTAGTAAAGAAAATATTTTAATTATACTTAAAAAAGTAGACTGTGGATGAGTATGAATTATCTTTTGATGAGTTTCAAAATGCTTTCAAAACGATACGTTACAATTCGGAAAAAGTCCGGGTCTTGATGACATAAACTTTCAGGTTATTAGACTTTTATGTCGTTATTGAATATTCTCTACTGGATATCTTTAAGGAACAAAAAGCCGAATCTTTACCTCTTATAATTAGAACTCGTAGTACCGATATTTAAAAGTAGAGATGTTTCTGATGTTAAGAGGCTCCATTTGAAGGTTTTGAAGAAAATTATTGCATAGAGAAAAAAAAAAATTTAAAAAAATAAATGGTCGTCATAGGATCATATATTTTATCTTTTTAAAATATTTTTTACATACATTATTAAATCAACTTTTGGGGTAATTTGACCATAGCAATAAAATTGATCAATTTTAATACTTAATTTATTTGATATATATTTTATATATCAAATAAATAAAGACCATATATTTTATTTAAATAAAATTTTTTTTTTTGCAATATTGTCTTCAAAACCTCTAAATTCGTCATTACAACAAATATTTTTATATTTTAATGCTATGTTTTTTCCGAAAACAGTTCCTTTTAACTTAATTATATAAGTAGCGATAAAAATTAAAAGTATTATTTAAAAGTAATAATACAAGGTTTATATGATTATTATTTAGATGGATATCAAGCACGCATCAGCAATAAAAATCTAACATAGAATTAAAAATTTTATTTAAAAAAGTTTTTGTCAAAATAACAGCAAATATTTAAAATTGCAGTTTACACAGCTTCAAATATAATTCTTTCCATGTTTTTCGCATTGATTAGTCATCCGTTTGGTTTCACGTGGTATCACGCCAACTTGCTTATTATCAAAAGGATGGTTATTATAAACAGTTCAATATCTTTACCAACGAGTCCATTCAACTCGCGGTTCCATGAAATTTTTTATATCAAAAATGGCTTTACTTTTTTGTAATAATCTTTGTTTAGATTAAGAGGCAATTCAGAAGGAATTAACCATTTGTGCAAAGTTGATGGTTTTGCATGCGTGTCTTTAAGATATGCCGTCATGAAAAACATCTTAAAGTAAAAAAATTAAGATAATTTATTTCTTCTATAGAAAATTTATTTAATTTAAAATCAAAAATTTCTTACCTTTGCTCCTTGATACATTTCACCTCGAGATTCGTTTTTATCGTATCGAATCTTTACATGACCAACGGGAGAATTATTAAAGAACCTACATGAAGGTAAACCATGACTTGCTAAAAGACGCTCCGATGCCTTTAGTAAAATTTACAAAAAGTACTCAATAACACAACATTATAAAATAGCAACCATCAGGAAAAATAAGGTCGGCAATAAATTGCTGACCTTAAACTGTTAAAAGTCGGCATCAGTTTGGCAAAAAAAAAAAAAAAAAAATTGACATAAGAGGTTACCATAAAACATAAAAAAGAGGTCGGTGATTACTTGCAGACCTAAAACACTTTTGGTTCGGCATTGTCAAATACCGACCCTAATTCAGAGGGCTGAAAATAGTTAATACTGGTTAACTTAGAAGTCTACTAGTAAACTATTAAACAACACTTAAAAATATTAAAATTTTAGTAAAATTTCTTGAAAATATTACTCATACATTCCACTTTTTTTGTCTTTCAAGGGTTAGGGTAGTTGTACACTTTACTTTTACTATATAAAAAAAATTTCACCCAGATTTCATTAGGAAAAAATACTTAGCATTCACTAATTAAAAATAATAAAACAAGCTACCACTAAGCACTCCACTTTCGCTGAACGAATATTATTGGCTAAGCTACTATTAGTTAAGCGAATAATGTTATTCGTTAAACTTCGTAACTGAAGTTGAACGAATATTTGCATTTCGACTTTGTCTAAGTTCAATTGGCGAAGTTATACATACTTCATCAGTGCTTTAGCTTGCCTTCGCTTCCACTAGCCAAAAATCTTTTCTTTTTCATAACAATATTCGATCGCAATATTCGGGAAATTGCAAAAATGATATTTAGAGGAAGATTATTAATAAGATAAATCACGTAACAATTTATTGCGATTTTGAGTAACCGCTAACTAATCGAAGTGCGATTATTTTTGACAAAAACAAAAAGAAATTGCAGTAATTGCGATTAGATCACTATTCTTATTGCAATAAAATGCAAATCAATTCTTACAGAGTATTTTGCTGGGCAATTTATTGCAAATCAAGTTTTATTGAAAAAACTGCGTGCAATTTATTGAAATTTTTAAAATCGTATTTAATTGCTTGATCAAAACAAATCGATTTTCCACTAAATACCAATGCGGTAATGCCAGTACCTAATTTTATCTAGCTCATACTAAGCAAATATATTACTAAAAATTATCAAAAACATACCCCGATTATTAAAAAAAAAGAAGCAATTCTTTATAAAACTTCTGAAGTAAATGGGCAAATACACACACACACACACACACACACCACACACACACACACACACACACACACACACACACACACACACACACACACAAATAAAAAATAACATTTGACTTACTGATCTCAAGCATTCATTGGATTGAATAGTTGTATATGGATACAATAAAACCTTTTCTTTTAAAACCTGATCATCCTCAACAACATAATGAAGAATTTCGCTTAACTTTCGTTTTAAAGAAGAATAATCATTATCAAACTGGTCCAATTGAGCTAAACGTATATTCTGTGCATCTTTAGCCCAATTCTCTTCTTCTTCCTTTATTAAAATAACAGAGTTTAAGCTGAACAATGTTTTAAAAAGGATTTAAAGCATGATGGGATATATAGATTTAAAAAAATATAATTAAGTCTTAAAGTTGCTTTTGTTTACTTTCAAAAATGCTTTAAAAATTTCATATAAATGATTTGTACAAAAGTATTTAAATTTTTGTATATTACAGAAATAATTAGGAATAAATAAGCAAATAATAACTTAATAGAAAATAATTATGAATTTATTTCGCATAACTTAAAGTTTGAAGTACTTTGAAAAAAAAAAAAGAAAGCGAAATTTCTATAGTTTCATCAAAAGTGAACATATATAATTTTTGTTTTAAATAATAATTTTTAATTACTTTAGTTTTAAATAATGCGTACTACCACCTTTTACACTAACTAATTTAAAGATTTCAGTTTTTCATACTTTTTATAAGATTTTCCTAACAAACCTTTTAAA